TGGACAGGTGTACCTAATAAAGTGGCCGGTGAGTGTATACCGAATTGTTCCACACTTGTCTGGAAAATGCATTTGTGTGTTGAGCAGTAGTGTATATGTAGGTTGTACTAATAGAAAGTATTCTCTGTCCATGCCCAACAGCTTATTCTGCTGCTGACTTTTGTTTTGAGACAGTCGTTTTGTCAGACTTCAGTCCAGTAAATGAGTCGATATCACAAAAAAGCTGTTTGGCAGAGGAGATTTGACAAGTTCATCTTGGGTGCCACTCAAATATTAATTAGCTCAACAGGCAAATACATTTTTCCTAGCAAATGGGTCACCATTTACAGGGAAATAAACTGGCTTTTCAACAATAAAGGATTTATTGTCAAGAAACATTGTTACAACAAAGAGAAAATCAAGATTCCTCAATTTTGTACTAAGTTTGTGTAAATATGAACACAATATGAAGATTTACAAGCCAAAAATGTAACCTTTGAAAAAAAGTCTGATATATTTAATGCATTTGGGTGTACATCTGCACAAAGAGGTTTGACACAATGTTTACAGTAAAAGTTATATCATGTTTTCTGTGATTTGCAAAAAATTAAGTTCAAAATATTTCCATTTACAGTCAAAATGTAGCTGTCAGAATCAGGAAGTGATGCAGACTTCATTATTAGAAGGGCTGAAAGACTTTTTACCACATTTACAGTTAACACATAAAAAAGAAAAAAGGAAGAGATATTGTTTAACTTACCACCCAGAAGGAAAATTGTAATAATCAATCTAATCTTCATTATTTAAAAATAATCTGTACTTCAGTCTCAGTTTTCTTGACTATTTCTTCAGTTCCCCGCACCGCAGCTGTTGGGAAATCTGTCTGCAGAAATGTCTGCTGTTTTAATGCTTATGTAATTACACTTCCTGCTTCTGAAGAGTTTCCTGTAAAGTTCTTCCCTTCTTTCTCATTTTTAACATTAAAGAAGTTGCAAGTTAAACAGTCAACACGAAACCAACTTCATGGTCTATGTTTGGTCAAAAAAGAGAAATAAAACACGAAGTTTGCTTTTTTTGGTAGATTTTGTAATACAGTATCTTAAACAATAAGTTTTAGTCTTCCTTTGATCCACTGAGTATACCACAATCCAAAAAAAATCCCATCAAACAGCAACATAGCATTGGATTTTAAATCTTAATGACTAAATTATTTGCCTGTAGTTTAACTTTTCAGTATACTATCCCTAAAAGGTCAGATTATAATGCCTGTTGCCTTTCACAGGGACACATATGTTCACACTGCAGGCAAATGGGGCCCATACTGGAGTTTTTTCATGACAGTCTGAATGTGTTAAAACAGATTTTTATCAAATCTGACCCAGGCCTTTTCAATGTGTGACACTAAATCTGATATGTGAAGAAATTCAGTGTTATGTAGGTTGGTACTGATTTTAGAAGCACAACACTATATTCTTAAGTTCTCCTTTTTGAAATATTGAC